CTAAAGGCAGTATAACACCAATCGTGGTCCGCACTTGCAAAATATTAATGCGTTTTGAAACCTATAAAAAAGAAAGTGTCGCAACCTTTTAGTGAGCGAGTGTACGCCGATGATATGGTCCTTAATTCTTAGTCCATTCCACCCATTGATGCTGCTTTGGAAGCTTTAGAAGCGACAAATCATAACTTCAAGACCATTACCGAATGGTCTTCGTCAAATGCTCTCCATTTGAATCCTTCCAAATTCTCCTTGCTCATTGCTGGCTCCTCTTACTACTTCGCCTCTCTCATTTCAATACCCATTTGAATTTCTTAATTCCTAGTTTCTTCCTCCATTAAAATACTTGGTGTGTATTTCGACTCATTGTTGTTTTTCAGTGACCATATATGTTGTCGCTAAATGCAGAGCTTTCCTCCACTTTCGTCTTCTTTATCCTTAACGTCATATCCTTTCAATCTCTCAAAAACCTCTCAAAAACATCGTATCATAAATTTTCATAATCTCTACTATTACTTAGGAAAATAGGAAAAATTGTGAAGGAAAAGTGACAAAGAAACTTCGAGAACAAGAAATTCACAGAACTAGAGTATTCACTGGTATGGTAGAGACATGCGATAACCTCCAACTAGGATTTAAAAAAAAAACGATTAATTTCTTGCGAGGAAAAGCGACATTTTTTTCTGTCAGATTCTTTTATTTCGCACAAAAACGCGTTGAATGGACGTAATTTTATCAATATTGGAGTTGAGAAAGATTAAAACTGAATAATTATTAAATATTTTATAACAATTATTTATACATCACAGCTTTCCTATTTTTAAAATATACAGTCTTTCAACAATCTTCATATTTTAACACGTTTGATTATTTACATTAATTTACAAATGCCAAAGGCATATCTGAATAAAAAATATTACATATGAGTACAAAAATCTGATATACTTCTACAGACTATATTTCACATATAAGATATTAGATTTAAATTTTTCTTGCAATATGCATCGGAATGAGTAATCAAAGTTTATTCCTCATATATCATTAGCGTTCAATAAATTGTACAATATCGCTACTTACTATCACTTATAGTTATTGTAATAATTATCTTAAATATAATGATTTGTTGAAAAGCAGCGTGCTTTATAATTTTTGATCACAGTATTTTAGTGGAAAAAGCTGAAGGAGATAGAGATGCAGATGATACAGATGTTACAGGCAGACGAAGTTTATCAAGAATAGCCTGGTCATATGGATAATGTTTTGTTAGCATCTTGTTAGGCACATAGTGAGACCATGCAAATTTACAAAAATATCGGCCGATCTCGTTGTGCTCAATCCATCTTGGCGGATATACCTCTATTAAAGAATCTAAAATAAAAAATCTTTTAAATCACATACATTTAAGCGTATATAAATAAAATGTACACTTGCTCACTAAAAGGTTGCGACATTTTCTTTTTTATAGGTTTCAAAACGCATTAATATTTTGCAAATGCGGACCACGATTGGTGTTATACTGCCTTTAGACTAAAGCTGTCTCTTATACACATCTCTGAGCGGGCTGGCA